CGACATCAAGAAGACGACATCAAGAAGACGACATCAAGAAGACGACATCACAGCGGCAAATAAACGCTTCGAGCCATCTGAGACCGTGCTTGCCGATGTGAAAAGCACCACGAACGTAAGAATTATAAACGTGACTTTGTTTACAATTCCAAACGGTTTTTAACTAATCCAATACATCATATACGTCACCAAACGATATTAATGCATTCTTTGTTACAAAATGAACACTTCATTCCAATCTCAAATTCACAATGTGAATTAAAGTCAATCCAAAACCGATGGTTTTTTGAGCGATGTTCTCAAACACTAACAATTTCATGTTTATTCGGTTTTTCAGAAACATCCATCCAGTAAAATGGCTGATGCGCCGAAGAAAGTGTATTACACAAGACAACGACGGCATTTGGAAGAAGAGCAAGCAAAACGAGTTCCAACTCACATCGCTTCCACCACTCCCACCACTCAGCTGACAGATGTCAACGTGGATTGTTTAGTGCATATATTCAAATATCTAAGTGTCGCTGAAAAATTGAATCTTGCCGACTTGAATAAACATTTGAAAATAGCGACGAATTTGGTGTTTCAGGAACAATACAGGAAAAAATGGGTAAAAGTCGACTCTTGCAAAATCGGTTTTTATGAAAATGACGAGTATGAGGTAATTGGACCTACAACACAAATTCCACGGTCATTCTGCTTCAAGTTGCTACGTTGCTTCGGAAATTCAATCACAAAATTGAACATTACTTATCCAGCATGCAATTACAAATGGTATTCAGGATGGTATGCACACCTCGATCGTTACATCACCGAATATTGTGCCGAGTCACTGCTTGAATTTACGCTGGTCGATTGTTCAGCACGTACGCTAGCAAATTTGACGAAGCCATTTCCAAAAATGGAAGCAGTTAGTTTCATCAACTGTCAATTGGGAAGCAAGCTGTCAAAGCTTGACAAATGGTTTCCGATGATGCGTCGCCTGCGATTTGGCGGAGCAAACGAAATATCAAATGGCAATGCGATTGCTGTTCGTTTGCCGAATTTGCAAGATTTATACTTGGACCTTCCACTTGGCGTCAATCTTCTAAATACGGAACACTTTGCTGGACTCATGCGCCAAAATTCACAGATACGAACTTTGTACATCAATGGCCGTATCGATATCAAATACCTTCAAAGAATTAGTGTCCATCTACAACATCTGGAGAGGCTGGAAATCAATACATCTAGATTGTTCGTGAATCGTGGTTGCAATACTGAACTAGTACTCTTTTCAAACGTGAAGAAACTAAAATTTACATCTACCAGAGGTGGGTCAAATGCATTATATTTCCTAGCATTCGATAATCCTGAAGAATTCATAATCAAATCAAGTGATGGTACTATTCTGTTGGATCATGAATTGGCTGATTTCATCAGCAAGTATACATCACTTACCAAGCTGACTTATCGGTGTAGAAAAGAGGGCGAAGAGGGTGTATTGTCGAAGATTTCGTCACCAGAATTGGTTGAAGTTAATTTTGGGCTATGCACTTTTCCGATTGATGAAGTGATCGCTTTCATGGAGAAATGCAAAGCACTGAAGAAGTTCTCAGCTCAATTATTTCTATTCAAGCAAAATGATTTCCAAGCTGTTTTGGAACGATTTGGTGGCAACTGGAGCAGACCCAACGACCACCTCCATTGCTGGCAGAGATAAAGGGACTCATTGGCAAAACAAAAATAGTTAAATTCCATTCAATCATTCAAATTATTACGGATGAAAGCAGGTATTCCACGCAGAAATCATCACAAGCCGTCATTAAAAAGCTATATTTAAAGAGAAAATACTAACACATGAATTAAAAATACTACGCAATCAATATATTTTCTTATAAATTTTTATAAAAAGGATACATTGTCTTATGACTCTTTGCATGTCTTTAAAAAATGTTAAAATATCTATTTTTCTTCGCATCCACAGCCAAATTTACATATTTTTTTGTATTAATTAAAGTTCGATCAAGTTCGGTCAATAAAATTTGATAAAAACCATTATTTTTGAACGATTCTTTCCAAAAATGTTTTTTCTAAAATTTTAAATCGAGCTTAATTTGCCAATCTATTGGCATTACGATCGTTTTGTTTTCGAGTATCAAACCTTATAGCTACGTTATATTGGATACATTGCATAGCTTAAGCTAATAGCTTAAGCTTCCATCTCTGTCCAAAACTCAATTTTGGTTTGATGAAAAGCGATTTCAACGGTACATCGATTCATATTAAAACGGGAAATATTCGAATGGTGGTTCAGTCTGAATGTCAAACAGTGAAGTAGGTTCTAATTAGATCAGCGACGGTGGTGTATTCAATTGGTTGTTTCGATGATATGCATTCGTTATGTTCAAAGTGTGGTTCGGGAACGATGGTGGTGGATAATTGAAAAAATTGCCTCTTTGTGGTGTGTTATCAAAGTAACTGGGGCATGTATTCAACTCAAGGCCCATCAATTTTCGATCCAAAATCAACGGTGGCAAAGAATGGTGTCTTTTCATTTGGTCGATCATAGCTTCGTAGTTTTTGTGATCGTCACCCGAGAAGATGTAGTTCATGTGTTCACTGAGTCTTAAACGTACATCAAATGGCACATTTTGATTGTATCCGTAAGTAATGCCGCGCAAACATCCTTGGAATGCATTCAAATGATACATTCCCTGATCAAGTCCATAGCGACCAAACAATACCATATTCAGATGCTGACGCAAACGTATACTTTCCCTAACTTTTGATTTCTTTCCTTCATTTCGACGAATGCGATCGAATAAACCTTGAATCATATCAGCCATAGGTTCAACATTGCACATAGCCGAATCCAAAATGGCAACTTTGGAGCGCACATACTCGATCAGTGCATCGCGATTCTTTGGCATTTGTGCGTCAAGTGCAGTATGGTGTGGATTTTCGGTTGATTCGAAGAAATCGTTCAGAGCATTGTGAACATCTTGTTGATTACTTGCAGTGCCATGCACAATCAATACCATTCCGAGTTGACCCCATTCCAAACGCACCGACACATTGTATTGCAGCTGAATGTTACGCAAAAAATGCACGCCTTTGTCGGAAATCAATTGCTTGTACTGCTGTAGTGTGAGATTAATCGTTTTGTCGCCCATTTCATTGGTGATCGTTGTCGAATCGGCCGAAACGTGCGACGCTGAACGTGCTGGTGTATATTTTCCGGGCTTGTCTGGACACAATGGCATGAAATCAGGCAAAAAACTTGACGTTGTAACATGATTGTTTTGTTCAGATAATTCTTTTAGCTCATCCTCAACGGTATCCGATTCAAGGATTTTCTTTCGTTTTTGCTGTCGTTTCGGTATCGGAACGTCTTCTTCGCTACTGCTATCCAATTCAGACACCATCTTAAATCTACTCGTAACCTCTTTTGCATAGACCGAATCAGTCATACAACTGTTGCCATCATCAACCTCATAAGGTTTTTCGACGGTGGCATTTAATTTGTCTTTGTGCTCGGACGGTGGAGAAATTGCATCATCATCGTCACTCGAAATAACAACACTCTCTGGAGCATTTTCAGTGACAGTGTGACTTTCATCATCGGAAAGTATTCCAAATGTTTCGAAACCGAAATTTCGTGAATGAGTTATTTCAATAAAATCGTCTGTCGAATCAGTTGAACTGGATGAGCTGTCACATCGAATTATTTTTTGGTCGCTATTTTTGGTGTCATCGCTATCATCACTGTCAGTGGTCGATTCCGTTGATTCACACTCTTGACTATTGGTTGATGTGGTTTCTTCGCTCTCGTCATCCGATACAAGGTTGATGAAGGGTGGTTTCGGGCCTGGAATCAAAATAACATCGTCTTCTTCATCGACATCGGTTTGACTCGTGTTGGTTGGCTGACAATTTTCAATGTCATGTACCTGTAAATGATCCAGCAAAATTTATTGAACATAAAATTGGCAAACTTGGCGAACACTTTTTTCAACGATATTAAAATCAACTCTTACATGTCTCATGGTGTTTTTTGTAAAATTTGATCCGATTCAATTGATTATCCGACTAAAAACGGTTATTATTCTCAAAAATTTCTTTATTTTCTCTGTATGTTCTTAACGGAACTATTGACAGCTCAACTATGTGCATTGTAGTTTATGTATCGCTGAGTCGCAAGCACATTCGGCACAACAAACAACAGAAGCGTCTGTCATACACAATCAAATCTGTTCGAAAGCGATGCTACCAATTGATTTCAGTCAAAATTCAGTTCGGCAACTGACAAGTGTCAAATTAGCATGATGTTTATGTTTCAATGCATCGAGCGAGATTTTGCATACACACGCACATCAATTCGAGTTAAAGCGCGAAAGCCGGCAAATGCTGTCAAGTGTCACAATAGTTCGTTAATCTGATCGCAACACACATTAAAGCCTTTCTAAAGGCGTTTCTTCATTCATTTATTCTTGAGCATTTCAAGTTTTCCAAGTAAACAGTGTGACGAAATTTAAGCAAGCATAAAAACCCGTCGAATTTTTTTACTCCCTTTGCATCATTTTCTCTGGAAATGTAACTATCTCATCAAGTAATTAGCTGTGTTAAGTGGGAAAAAACTTTAATGCCTGGATTGTCGCTAACGTTTCTTATTTCCATAGAGATTTATTTGAAAAGTTTGATTTTTTTATTGTGCAAATCCACGGCGTTTTTCTTTGTTCAATGAGACACAATGATGAAAATCTAAATTGTCAATTTTGAACAGATTCGTGTAAGACTTTGCTGAAAGATGGACAATCGTAAAAAAGCCGCTACTAGAAAGCGACATCAAGAAGACGACATCAAGAAGACGACATCAAGAAGACGACATCA